TTGTAAAAATATATATTATATATATATATATATATATATATATATATATATATATATATATATATATATATATATATATATATATATATATATATATATATATAATATGGATATGAGTAAAATACCGTAAAATGCGGCACTGATATTTCCCTATTTCACTATAGTGAAATATCAAATTATATCTTACGCGGGAACGATCTTACGAGTGATTTTCAATACACTATGACTAAGATATGAGTTAGTTGGTCTTTTATTAGAAACATTTTACAATATTTGTGTCATTAATATGAATTACCAATATGACTTAGTTTCTTTAAATTTTCTTTACAAAAATCATTTATCAACGCCAGGTGGAATAACAAACTTTTGTCTACTATGTACTTTAAAAATATTTCAGGTTGAAATTAATAAGATTTTGGGCTTGCTTGCACATTTATCTAATATATCAGTCTAAGGGTTCATTTGCTATCTCTATTCTTTATGCGGACATTCTAACTGGCGAACGAGGAATTTATGTAAGTAATTGTACAGCATTTCAACCGTTACATTCTCTAGTTGTAATAAAAAGGTGTCTAACCATGTACTGAGGTAGAATAACAATAAATTTAAGTCATGATGTTTATATATTGTGTCTTTGAAGAACACTACCCACTAGTCATTTTCTCATGCAACTATATAAAAGCGGCAGGATAATCAAAAGTATAATCTCAAGATTTTGTCATCTACAGTATACAAACTCGATGATTCTTACAAAGTATTAACATTTAATACATGCATTTACAACAAAATTATAATGATTGTATGTACAGTCGAAAATTGCCGATAATTACCGACAACCGTTTCAAACCACAATTGGTCCGATCTCAATAATTTCCGATCTTTTGCCGTGTTGCGCGCACGAATATGCTTGGTTCTTAATTGTTGGGCTAAAAAGTTATTTGCATATGGCTGTATAGCACACAGGAACATACGTGCTGGGAAGACATTGACGAGTGACTGCATTTGATAATTTTCTCAGCACAAACCCTCAATAAATCTTTTGGATCATTACACATCTTGGATTAATGATAAAATTATGTTGTAAGTTATTCATTCTTCAAATAGCCTATAGTATCCCAAAGTTGTAACAAACATCCAGCAGACTTGTAGCAAAGCTGTTCCAACAACCTGCCAACAAGATGTGTTCGCATGCACTGCTTGTTCCCTGCTTGTTGACAAGTTGTCAACGGCTTGTTGACAACTTGCTCAGTACAAGGTTGTTGAGCTCAACAGACTTGCTGCAAGTTATTTCCAACAACTTGTTATCGTCCTGCAATGCATCAATTTGTCAACAAGTAATTGTGAGTGACAACCTTGTTGCAACTTGATGAAATATAAGAACAGCATTGTTACGACTTTTTGACAAGTTTGCTACAAGTTTGTTGCGAACACATCTTGTCGACAAAGTTGTCGGATTTTTACGTGTGTAGTTTATGTACGTATTTTTTTAGTGATAAATTCACCAATAATCGGAATGCATGGGCAGCAGCCCGACAAATGTAGGTTTCGTTAACATAGGTTTCGATAGTTTTATTTTATTTTCAATACACTATGCCTAAGATATGAGTTAGTTGATCTTTCATTAGAAACATTTTACAATATATATGTGTGATTAATATGAATTACCAATATGACTTCGTTTCTTTAAATTTTCTTTAAAAAAATCATTTATCAACGCCAGGTGGAATAACAAACTTTTGCCTATAGTATGTACTTTAAAAATATTTCAGGTTGAAATTAATAAGATTTTGAGCTTGCTTCACATTTATCTAATATATCAGTCTAAGGGTTCATTTGCTATCTCTATTCTTTATTGCTGCCGGATTAAATTGAATTACAGGATTAAATTGAATGTATGTTTCAGGATTAAATTGAATGTATCTTGCAGGATTAAATTGAGTGATCAATTGCAGGATTAAATAATATGAAACGTTGCGAAGGTTCTGGTTCAACGGGGAGATTCTTTGATTAAACCGCGCCAATCACAAAACAGAATTAGTGGTTTTAGTACAGATTCTGTACTAAAACCACTAATTCTGTTTTGTGATTGGCGCGGTTTAATCAAAGAATCTCCCCGTTGAACCAGAGCCTTCGCGACGTTTCAATTTATTATTTACTGTCGAAGGCTCTGGAATCCAGGGTAATTGCAGGATTAAATTGGATGAATATTGCAGGATTAAATTGAATGAATATTGCAGGATTAAATTGAATGAATATTGCAGGATTAAATTGAATGAATATTGCAGGATTAAATTGAATGTATGTTGCAGGATTGAGTTGAATGATCGATTGCAGGATAAAATTGAATGAATATTGCAGGATTAAATTGAATGTATATTGTATGATTAAATTGAATGAATATTGCAGGATTAAATTGAATGTATATTTCAGTAGGCCTATTAAATTGAATGATTGCAGGATTAAATTGAATGTATATTGCACGATTAATTTGAATGTATATTGCATGATTAAATTGAATGCATAGATGTACATTTATATTAAATTGAATAGATGTGATGTTTTAAATTGAATGAAATTCAGGAGAATGAATATTGCTACAAATGGGCAGGAATATATCATGCACCTGTTCCATAAAACAGTACGTTTTAAGCATTCTGTTCTTTTGAATATTCAAATATTTTACAAATAAGTATATAATATAATATTTCTACTTATACTTAACACACACACGTATATATATATATATATATATATATATATATATATATATATATATATATATATATATATATATATATATATATATATATATATATATATATATATATATATATATATATACAGGGTGTATCAAAAAAAGCGCAATCCTCGACTGAAATGTAAATTGCTAAACAAATAACAAACGAAAACGTTAAAGTTTACATTCATTTTAAAGCGAAGCCATTCAGCTTTCTAACAGTGGGTAGTTTCTTAAATTTGACTCTTTGGTTCGCGGGTAATAATACTTTACGTTACTGCGATTGGAGATTAAAAAAATTGAGATGGAATAACAAATCGTTCTCATGAAAATAACTGATTTTTTCATTGAAACAAAAAAATGTTGCATTTTATTAAATGGATTGTAACAATAAGTATAATTACGGCTTTTCTTCCACTATTTTTAACTCAGTTTGAAACTTCAAATGCGATATAATTTTGGCTTGGACCATCTGAGCTGATTGACATCAACTTGCTATAATTTCTGTTTACATTACATCGCAATTCGATGACACTCTGGCTCAGACACCAGAATGTTTTGACGATTTTTAGCATTCGTTTAGGATTTTCAAACAACCTGGTCTCTTTTAAAATACTTTAATTTGTTCTTACGTGGTTTTCCAGATGTAGTGACGACAACATTAAAATTTAAAGAAGAAAATTCTAACATTTAAACCGACTAAACAATAACATAGTAAACTTGCACAATTAAACAGCAACTAAAAATGATAGGTTTTACTAAATCTTTTCCTGTGCAATTATTACTAGCATTGGAGACAAGGATAATACTTTGTTTGAAAGAGAAAAGAACAGGCTTTGAAGTAAGCCTAAAAGCGTTTAACTAGAAATAGTATTTCGAAAGTTATTAAGCATAAAAGATGAATTGCGTTTATTTTGATACACCCTGTATACATTCAAATATTTAAAATTAGTTTGTTTTTATTTCCTTTCGTGATGCGTACTCAAGGATAAAAGAGTCCTTAAATCTATTTGTCCTAATCGTTGGGAGATTATATTTCTTAATTGTTCTGAAGTTATAACCAGCCTTATTCATTTCTGGTAAAAGTCCGTGAAGTTTGTGATCTTCATATTCTTCAATTTCACGAAACAGTTTTTCACATAGTTTCTCTCTACGGTCGTTTAGTCTTTCTAGGTTTCCCATTTCCAACGCTTCACTGTAATCCACGTAAGGGTAAATAATTCTTAGGGTTCTTTTCTGAATTTGTTCAATTTCTTTTGAAAGATAATTAGGAAGGCCTGAGTGAAAGGCCTGACAAGCGTATTCAAGGACAGATCTGATACAGGCGCAGTAGAATTTGATCAATGAATTAGTATCGACATTCGCACGTTTTAACTGTTTCAGGAGATAAAGTCGTTTGGAAGCTCTTAATAAAATATTTGCCACATGGACATTCCATTTTAAATCATCGGTAATAGTCATTCCTAAGATTGTTGCGGATGTTACCACTTCGAAATGTTTATCATTTACTTTGACTGGTTCGTCTCTGCAAGGGTCTTTAGTAAAATTTATTCTAAGTTCTTTGCATTTTCCAGAATTTAATTGAAATTTGTTATTATTTGACCAATTAGCCACTTGATCAACTATATCTTGTAAATTGCTATTTTCAGTTCTAGGGATGACCTCCGAAATTGTGGAATCATCAGCGAATTTCCACATCTTGTTTGTTGAATTCTCTGAAACGTTCAAATCGTTTATCATAATGAGGAACAACCATGGTGCTAATTTGGTCCCTTGGGGTACCCCTGCCTGGACTTGCAGTATATTGGAATGGCACTTATAATTCAACTTAATTCTTTGGGTACGCTTATATAAGAAGTCTGTAATCCAATTGGTGACTGATGGTTTAATTCCGTAGTTAATAAGTTTTGATATAAGAAGGGTATGGTCCACCAAGTCAAAAGCTTTCCTAAAGTCTAATAAGGCAACTTTCACTGTAGAACCTGTTCCATCTGTTGCGGCCAACCAGTTATGTAGCATTGAGATAATTGCATGAGTTGTACATGATTTAGGAATGAAGCCAAATTGGTGGGGATCTATTTTCTGTAAAATCTTAGGTTTCAGTTCGAGGTCGATTACAAACGCTTCCGCGATTTTCGATAGTGTAGACGTCAACGATATTGGTCTCAGGTCTTTGTTGAAATCAGTTATGCTCGATGTTTTAGGGATGGGTGATACGTCAGCCATCTTCCATGCCTGTGGAACCGCACAGTTACGAAATGAACAATTTAAAATGTCTGTAATGGCTGGAGCTAAGATATCAGCATATATTTTTAATACCCAATTTGGAAGTTTGTCTGGACCATTTGCTCTGGATATACTTATTTTGCGTAACTTCTGCTGAACAGATGTTAGGCTAACTTGTATAGGATCATCTTCCTCTTGGGTTACATGGGCATCGTCTGTTAAAGGGGTATAATCTTTTGTGACACTAATAAAGGCTTCGTTTATCATATTAGCTAGTACTTGGTCGGAACAATCGTTGTTTATCCTTAGGATAGAACGTAGATCTTTACGGTTTGTTGTTTTGCAGCCACAGAGTTGTTTTATTTCGCGCCACCATTGACTAGGTTTAGTATTTTTGAGATCCTGCACTTTAGTTTTATAATATATTTCACGGCATCGTTTTCTTTCACGATTGACTTTATTTCGTAGGAGTGAGAACAAAGGTTTGTTACCCGTTGCAAATGCCTTCTGTCTTTATTGATAAGTCGTTTCAAATTATTTGTCATCCACGGACGGTCAGTAGCATGCACTTTGATAGATCTTTCTGGCATAATAGTGTTCAGTCCGTAGTTTACTATATCGGTAAAAATTGAGAGTTTTTCACAAGGAGATTGAACTGATGATAAAATATCTTCAAATGGAACGTTCTGGAAAAACCGGCCAAGACTGGAGATATTACTTCTTCTTTTATCGCGCACTTTTATTATTTTCTTTTCGGACACTGATTTTTGTCGTATAGCTGGGAAAATAGTGATTGTGAGATGGTCGGATAATCCAAATGGACATCTTCTATTTGCAGCCATGTAAAAATCTTGTAAATTTGTAAAAGTCTGGTCAAGGATGTTATTGCCTCTAGTAGGGAAGTTTATAATAGGTTTTAGATGGAAGAGCTATTTTTGAGCACGGTCTTTCTTTGCATAGAACTTCCATGCATACTGCATTATGCAGTATCTTTCTCATAATTAGAGACTTTTAGTTTGACATTTACAGCTAACGCCAAACTGCTAACGATGATTGTTATTTAACTATGCTCTTGTAGAAATTACACTAATTTTGTTACATAATAAACATCCTACACAAAGCTCGTGACATAAAGCATAATGATTATCAGAAAATTAGTTAGCCACTACTAACATATTACCAAGACAGTAAATTCAGCTTTTAAGTTTGAGGTTAACGTTTGTGGTATAAATTTTACACATGGACGTTTTATTTCTATTTTTATGATATGAATTTTAATGCACATGCCCTTGAAAAAATTTCTACATATTTTTACCTGGCCCACCCTTATGATTGCACTTAACTTTCGATGACCCACCCCTTCAACCGTGCTCAAAAATAGTGACCCACCCCCCTATTTTTCCCAGCCCACCCCCGCTTTTACTTTATGACCAGTCCCTAATACGAAAATTTGTGGGACAAATGAAACATTACCCATTACCATTAAATTTGGGTGAAAATTGCATGAGAAATTGCAACTCAAATTAGCAAATGTTTGTGCCTTGCTTTGCCAGGCAGAGTAAACTGAATGCATAATTAGCCCATTGTATAATTTCAAATAATTTATGCATGATACTTGGCTTGGGGAGATATGCAGTGATGGCAGTCTGTAGTCAAGTGCCCTCTAGTTACTACTCGTTTCCATGAAATCACAAGAATAGCAATAGTCCATTGCAATTAAGTCCTAGTGTTGTTAATATGTAACTGTGTGTACAAGTGTAAGCCAATTTGCACACAATTCCCAATGGTGGGAATATACAATTACTTTATGGTTTCCGTGTTTGGATGGCTTGATCCAAACACGCGGGAATGTTGCGAGAGTTAAGAAAAGCGCGCGAAACACGAGCCGAAGGCGTGTGATTTTGCGCGCTTTTCTTAACTCGAGCAACATTCCCAAAGTCGAACAGCATTCCCATTCTTAATGATAGAAAAAAATGTATCATAATTTGACAGCAAAAGCCTGAAAAGGTCTGATCTTTATTGATATAGAAAATAAATAATCTTTCTTGCGTTTTTTAACTGACTTTTCAAAAACATTCTCTCCAATTATTTGAAAATCGGCGTAAGGTAAAAATTTTATGTTCCAACCGCGATTCTTCTTTGAAAACGGTCTCCAGAAATATATAATTCTTATTAACTGATAAATAGGTAAAATAGCGAGACATGAATCACTATAATTCCGTACTAATTTATACCAGTAGGGCAATCAGCCTAACTGAGGGTAGGACCTTAGGGGATTTATACTTATGTTGGGTGACTGTCCTGTAATTGAAAACTCCTGTAAGTACTGTAGAGATTGGGTTGGTTCTCTCCTATTCTGTGATTGTTTCTTGCGGGTGGTCCGACTTTCCTCACACCTATACCGAAAACCAGACTTAGTTATCTATAGCACGAATATCATGAGCCTCTGGCGTGAAAGAAACGTGCATCATGCACACCCTGTGAAATGGACATTAAATATATCGTTATTTCAGGAGATTATATAGATTTAAAAGTATTCTCCTTGTAATTGTAACGGAATATTTTTAATTATTTTGTTTAGCTCTTGGTGTATTTACATCCACAGCTGGTGTTATAAAATATAAAAGAGAGTACACAACAATTGAAATTCCTTGCACATTCAATGACAACAAGTTTGCGAGTGTAGTTTGGTATTATAAGAAACGAGGCTCTTCTGGGAGTTTGATCACGATCTATGACGTCAACCCTCAGGGTGAAACCACTACAGTTGATTCAAACCAGTTCACAGGCCGAATTGAGTTCAAAGGGGACTTTGCAAATGCAAACCGAGATGCTACACTGGCCATTGAGAATTTTATGAAACAAGATGAAGGAAGTTTTACCTGTGAAGTGAGAGCTGCTCGGTTCCATAAACAGACAGTCACAATCAGAGTGACAGGTAGTATTATAAAAGATGCTTTGTTTCATTGATTGTACTATTGCGTATTCTTTCAAACTGCTCTTCTAACAAACGTTTCTTGCTTACGTTTAGTCATTTCCAAATTCAGTCATGTCCCATTTCATTTTCTCCGAGCTTTTTTTCCCACCCACTTTCCCTATTAATATCTACAGTAAAATTGGCCTAATCAAATCATGCTTGTGGTGATGTGGTCTGTGGATTTTATTTTTGTTGGGAGGTAGTCAATCTTTGAATGGAGCCAGGCATATAGGGGTTGCACCAAAACTAGTAGCCTCGGAACGAGAATTTATGGGTCGTCCCGAAGTCAATTCCAGCTTGTGTACGACTCGGATAGATCCTACTAATAGGTATTGAATTTGGCGCAATAGCTATTTTATCCTTATTTTAGATTGCTTTTGAAGTTGTTAGCCTAAAATAGATGTTTTAGATTTAGATACTTCACATGCACCCTTCACTCATACTGTCTCATAGTTAACCATGCAGTAAGGCCAAAAAAAAATATGTTTGGTTTCCGGTTTCTTCTTATAAAAACTTAGGTAGGGTAGGTCGGTTTTAACTTTTTTTTTTAACTTTTATTTTAATTTTCCTAACAACCGGACGCCATTTTGTTTAGTCAGTGCTTCCATATCGAAAGATAAATTTCCCTAATATTGGCTCAAATTTCAATTTTCCACAAACTTTTTCCTCTTTCAAGTGGAAACACTTACAAGCATGATCCAATAAAAAAGTTTAGTAGGGTCGGGAAACCGGAAACCCACATATATATTTTTTTTGCCTAACTCCAGAATTCAGAATTTAACGTTTTGAAGACATAATGCACATTTTAACATTTGAATTTGTAGCTATCCCCCTATAATATAGGCTTAGACTAGAGAGGTATTGGTTTGTAACGTCTGAATTAAGCCATAAATCCAATATCTTTTAAATGGTTGTATAATTTATTTATATGACTTAATTTATCCCCCCTCAATACTCGTAATTTGTTAAAAGCGAGTACTTTCTTACTATAGTGAGTAGTGTATGTGCATTCATTATGCTGGGCATTGATTCTATCATACAGTATATATAGGATTTCCGATGAACAGTACGTGACCCAGGGTTCTAAAACAGAAAAAATAGGCAAGGTGGAGGTATTAGGGACTGAAGCTGTTTTTACTCGGGAGCCGTAGCATATAATAATTTTAAGTCAAAACTGAGTCGACTTAGATTACTGTAGGTTTTATATTAATGTCATTTATATAGAGAATAATACATGGGTACGCGGAAATACCCGCAGATTTATTTCGAGTGTTGAACATGATATCTCAAGAGTGAGCGCAGCGAACGAGTGAGATATCATGTTCAACACAAGAAATAAATCTCAGTCTGGTATTTCCAAGCATCTATGTATTTTTCTGTTTATTATATAAAGTATTAAAGGACAGTATTTGAAAATTAGCGATAAATTTTACAGAGAAGCGATAGTAATTGAATGTATATAATATACATAACTTTTGTATATGTTATGTAATTCATAACATATATACAAAACATAAAAAATCTAGCTCACATGTCAGATTATCAATTTTATCAGTGCTCGAAATTTCTATAAAGCACTATACTTTATATAATAAAATAATATCTTAGACATTTAATTTCTAGTTACTATATTTATTTACATTATCCAGGGCGCTCTTTATTTATTAACTTTACAATCATACAAAAATTATAACAATGATTGAAGGTATGCTCAACAGGACATGAGTCCCATGTGAAGACCAACCTGATACAAAACAATAAGTAGACATACATTAAAGCCGAGGACTAGAACACTATTTAAATATATAACTATATAAAAATTAATAGTTTAGATTATGAGCAACAGCTTAAGTTGAAAGAACGGCATTTAGAGCATGCAGTAGGTTTTCCAAGTGCGCATTCTGTTAACATCGAAAGAAGAGTCTAATTGAGAAGACTATAGTGAGAATGGAGCTGGAGTTTAAAGGATGAAACAGATCGACGATAACAGCGTTTGCTGACGAGCTTACCCTAGTGAATATTATTATTATTATATGATATTATTATTATTGTTATTAACTGTGTTAGTATATATGAGCGCAGCACAGAAAAGTAGACGGCGAACATTTAGGAAGTAGACGGCGAACTTCGCCAGTCACCGGCTTCTAATGAGAACCCTGCCGTGACCCAATAACATGCGAATAGATTTAAACTTTCCTGTGTGTACAGTATATCAATATGGTTTATTGGTAACAGCCTTTTTTATGAAAAGCTTCAACAGGGTTCGTAGCGGTCTTTGAAATCCTTGAAAGGCATAACTCCTTTGTGCCAAAAGTCGGCGGCCGCAGGTCAATTATACAGGGATCCCTTGCAAAGTGATGAAGTTTAAGTCTTAAACAATTGTTTCAGACCATCGTCACCGCTTCGAATAAGCAGGACAAGGGTGGCCTTTTCATTTTGAGACGGAGGCCCAACTGTTGAGAAAATCAAACACCTCGAATTGTGCGAGAAAGTGAAGAAAGTTTTTAAAAGTCTTTAAATGATTTGATATATATATATATATATATATATATATATATATATATATATATATATATATATATATATATATATATATATATATATATATATATATATATATATATATAGTATATATATATATATATATATATATATATATATATATATATATATATATGGTGAAGATTCTTTAGATAATAAAGTAGATCGATGCAGCTATAGATTTTTACAAATATAGAAAACAAGGCACATTTTAGGATGTGATATGACGGGACTAATTACTGGGTAAAAAATGGCGCTAATATACAATCGTGATTTTTCAACTTCCTCATTGCTCTCAAAGGTCTTTGAAAATAGGCAAGTCTTTGAAAATAGGCAAGTCTTTGAAAATATAGGCAAGTCTTTAATAGTCGTTGAATATTTTGGTATTTGATACTACGAACCCAGTTTGATGTAATCAGTTTGGAGTTTGGACATGCAATGATATATTGCTAGATATTTAGATAGGCAGGCATTTTGTGTACATTTTTCATATGATTTTGATTTGTTTGGAGAAATCATCATTTCTGGAATTATCCTAAGTCACCCCACCCCTCACATCCACTCCTTTCCCCCTCCCCCCCAAAATATTTTTTCTTCAAAATATTTTCATTTAGTCCGTGTGTTGTGACCCGATATCGTTCACTTTCATTTAGCATGTCTTGCATGGATCTGAAATATTTTGACGGGAACTAACACTTTCAAGCACGCTGAGTCATGGGCGTACCAGGCGAGGGGGCGGCGGCCGTCCCCCCAGTTTGTTGGGCAAACAAAGCCAGTCGGGCAATATTCGCTTAACAGTCGGGCAATATTGGCTTATTAGTATTTTTGCACAAGTGAACATAACAAATCCTACAAGGTGATTGGTCAAATTTGACGTATTAATCTGTTATATTCACCTACAGGTGAATATAACAAAATCTTCGTCGAGGTGAATATTCCCCGCGATAATCACCGAGCCTGAGGCGAATAATTGTTAATTATAAAAATAAATGGGACAAATTCTGCCAATTTTGTGGGAAATTCTGTCAATTTTGTGGGAAATATCAGTGCTATCTAATAGGAATTTTTCGTAACATTCCCCCTCCCCCGTCGACAACAATTTTGGAAAGTTTCTCTGGAAAATTTTTTTTGACAACTCGGACACAATCCGAAAAAGTCGGGCAAATTTCTTTCCGCCCCCCTAATTTTTTCCTTCCCGTACGCCCATGCGCTGAGTTCAAATCCGAAAGTTCCCATGCAGTTTTCTCACAAAATGCTATTTTATCTTCAATAATTTCACGACAAATGTTTCATTGTTCAACGACACGGATTGATGACGATACACGAAGACCGGTTTTGCTCGAATCATTTTGAGTTATGCAATCTTATGCGTGTATAGGACGTAAAAACCATATCTTAATTGTCTACAACTTTGAGAAAGTACAAATAACGCTTTCTAAAATCCTCAGCTCTAGATATATATCTATAAAATCACAAGGACATTTATGCGAAGTCTTTTGGCTATGTCACTGGCCTGAAAAATAACTCTTTTAACGCGATCAAGGTATTTAACTCAAAAGTAACACGAAGCCAACGTAACAGTAAAGACGACGCTAAAATGAAATATTATCGATTGGTTGCTGGTAGAACACTTACGACAAGATCAATCTTAAATAACCATAAACTATAAGAATAAATGTTTACATCAAAGACAAAGATCAGCCCCAAAGTGTTCTGTATTCTGTAAATTCTGTAATGCTTTATATTCTATGAACTTACGAGGAAGTGGAGAAATGTGTGCATATATTTGGTGATTTCAACGTAGGGCCTATATGCATGGAAGCCCTCTTTCCAATAATATTCGCTTATCGCGCAGTATATAACACCAACTGATGTAATAGTTCAAATGTAATGATAAGTTATCTCTTCAATTACATCTCAGAAACTGTGTTGAAAATTTAAATGCTGATCCATTTTTTTTTTTTATTTATTTCGCCCAATTTTCCAAAGTACAATAAAATTTAACTATTTACATTTTTATAATCTATACGTAGGACTAGAGATCTTTTAGAAACCCTTTTGGGATTTTATTTTAAGACACCTGGTGATAACAAAACTTTTTTTACTTAGCATAATTTCATGATGTCATAAAAATAGTACCTAATATAATAACGAAAATATATACAATTGTGAGAGTGTTTGAAGGAAAGTTAGTCTATTTACAAGATTTTTCAGATTTTTTAAACTTTATACATTAAAATAGGATGATTAATTAGCTGATTGGTGTGATATAAAGTATGTTTTCACATTTTTTTTGAAAACCATATATGATCCAATATTTTTTAACTCAGTACTTAAATTATTCCAAATGTCAATACCTTTACTAACAACAGATTGTTTTCTATAGTTTGTTCTTGTATAAACTTTATGCAATTTTTTTGAATTTCGCGTGCAATGTTCATGAATGTTTGAATTTTTTATGAAGTATCCATTAAAAATGTCGGGTAAATCATTAGTACAGTTGCAACGGTACATAAATAAGCTGGTAAGGTAATCGTTAATTTTGAAAATATTTAATATTTTCAAATTATTAAATAGCGGTTTTGTATGTTCTGTGTATGATTTAAATTTCATTAATCGAATAATCTTCTTTTGAATTCTGAAAAGCTTTTCAATTTTCGAAGGGTATGTATTACCCCAAGCTAAATTACCATATGTAAGGTATGGATAAATTAAAGCATAATAGGTCAACTTTATAGTGTTCAAGTTCGTAAAATGTCGCAATTTTGAAATTAGTCCAGTAAACTTGACAATAGTTTTACATATAGAATCAATATGATTTTTCCACGTTAAATTTTCATCAATTAGTACACCCAAAAATTTTGTATAAGAGACCTTTTGGATCAATTCATTTCTTATTTTTATTGTAATATGAGATTCCGATTTATTATTTTTTGATTTGAAAAGAATTAATTTCGTTTTAGAAGCGTTAATTGATAATTTATTAGCATTAAGCCAATTCATAATTTTATTAATTTCTTCTTGCATTATATTCGTTAAAGAGGTTAAGCAAGAATTTGAATAAAAAGCATTTGTGTCATCTGCATACAAGACAAATGATATAATATTACTACAATTTTCAATATCATTGATATATAACAAAAAGAGCAAAGGTCCGAGTATTGATCCTTGAGGAACACCAGTAGTAATAGTCATTTCTGATGAATTGTATTCTTTATATTTTACTATTTGTTTTCTTTCTTTCAAATAACTTTTAAACCATTCAATGCATAATCCTCTTATACCATAATGTTCTAACTTCTTTATAAGAATTTCATGGTTGACTGTGTCAAATGCTTTTGAGAGATCAAGGAAAATTCCAATTGTGTATTTGCCTTCATCTATTGCTTTGGAAATTTTGTCATTAATTTCAATAATTGCATGCATGTTCTGTTGATCTATTTTTCCTAAATCCGTATTGGTGTTTCGACAAGATTTCATTTGCGTCAATAAATTTTATCAATCTTTTATACATTACATATAGATTACCGTTTTATATCGTTGTATAAAACATTTTGATCGCATGTAACCAATTAGTTCTTATGCCAGAGACATAGCCCAAAGACTTAGCATTAACGTCCTTATAATTTTATAGAGATAGATCCAGAACTAATCCTAAGGATATTAGAAGGAATTATCTCTACTTTCCGCTCAAAGTTGTAGACAAGATAATGAAGATATGTTGTTTACGTGCAACACGCATAAGATCAGGGTTGGTAAGTTAGATGAATAATTAGGCCAAATCGTCATTAGTGCCGTTTAGAAAACAAAGAAAACAAACGGCCAAGACAAAGAAAACAAAGGCCTAGTGTGACGGTGTTTGGCCTAATTATTCAGCAAACCTACCAACCTTGCATAAGGTTGCATAACTCAAAATGATTGGAGCAAAACCGGTCTTTTGTTAAAAGGAAGAATGGTTGATAGAAATTGTTCCTTTTGAGTGACATAATCGTGTATCGTCATCGATCCGTATCGTTGGACAATGAAAAAATTTGTTGTGAAATTGGTGAAGATAAAATAGCATTTTGTGAGAAAACTGCGGGTCTACGGAGTGGGAACTTTTCGGATTTGAACTCAGCGTGTTCGAAAGTGCATGTTAGTTCCTGTAAAAATATTTCAGATCTAAGACATGCTTAATGAAATCGTTTTCTAGTCATGCACTTTTCGAGGTCACAACACACGGCGGACTAATTGTAATATTCGTCCTTCAATTGAAGTTGTGTTGTTAATTTATTGTTCTGAAATATTCCGTTTCGTACTACAAATGGTACTTCAATGGTACAGTTCATCGTCCTTCGATATGGAATGACCCTTACTGACCTCTAGGTAGAATAGTTCAGAAATCATACATTAAAAATTATCTTGTACTTATCCAGTTTAAATAGTTTAATCTGCATGGTCTTATTGTCTGCTTGTCAGTCAATTCAATCAGTGCTGTTCTGAAATATTTCTTTTAGTGGTTTCGAATGCACTTGCTGTATAACTGAGTTTAAAACAGTTGATGATAATATAATGATGAGATAATTCAGCAATAGATGATTCCCGTATTACGTTTCAATAGCGCTTTGCATTGTGGTTATAGTGGTATCACTGATAAAGATAGCGGCCTCGAATGAAAATATTGAATGTTTTCGCGAATATTTTGCTGTTGGCTATCGTCCACCTAGCTTTTTTAAAAGTTCTTGCACGGGTCAGGACAAAAAAATAAGCCATCTTGAATATCATTCAGTGATATACCACTATAACCACAATGCAAAGCGCTACGAAAACGTAATAAGGGGAATCATCTATTGCCAATAAGGAATGGCTATATGGGGAATTGTTGCTTTCACAACTGTTAGTGGTAAATTTAACGTTCGTTTTATAGTTTTGTTAAACCTAATGTTATTGGTAATTTATTAATATTTTAGTGCTTTCTAATATAACGGAGTTTAAAGCATTTGGTAATAAAACTGATGAAATAGTCCAAGGTGACAACATAACCCTATCCTGTACAACCACAGTCGGGGAACCATTACCAATTATACAAATGCGAAAAGGAATCACAGTTCTCAACTCTTGCACGGCGAGCAGCATCAGTCCGACAACTCTGCTGTATAGTTTTGAGCGAATTTCGAAAGATGCAAGTGGAACTTACTCTTGTCAAGTAAATACAGATGGGTTTACACCAACGCGAAATTTACAGTTGGATGTGAAATGTGAGTGGAAGTTAAGATTCAATTTAATGTTTGCGACAAAGTTACACACCACTTTTTATACTTTGTATATAGCATGATGAAAAGTTTACGTTACTATAGTACTGTATAGAAATGATAAAAGAGAAGAGTGCGATATCGAGGAATAAATTCAGTCAAATGAAAGGGACAAATACACCTTTCCGGGAACACGTCACTTTGACTATAGAGCATCGCTTTCGTGTATGTGACATAAGTTAAATTCCAGCATAGGTGACGAGGCCCTGTATATGGCAGGTGACGTGTAGACTTCCTGGAAGGATGTAATGGGGGCCAGATTTATGTCCCGTATATGTAAGTATATCGAATGTAAAATCATGCGTCCATTTGCTGCAATGAAATCTCCTTTATAGCAACAGCGACAAAACGCAGCAATTCAGTAAAATGCAGTAATTCAGTAAAATGCAGTAAATATAAATTCCGGGATTCACATATTTAATCATCAAGTTTAAAATGTAGTGGGTGACATAGGAATAGTTGTTCACTGAATTTCGACGTTTATATTTATTTAGGCCGTCCGTAATCTCTATATGGCGAGTACCGCCGCCATGCATGGTTATTTATTTTATGTCGTTTCTAGGTTCCTCCCAAACTTTAATAATATCGCTCGAAATACAACTACAAAAAAACCTGTTTTCGCACTGAATTTGAAAAAAATTGCAATTCTCCCAGTCAATCACGTTAGATAATTTTTCCACCCATATTATACAATTAATAGAGAGTTTAAGCTTCGTGTTAAACGTCAAACGGCAAACGACAGGCAAAGAAAAAATTTACAGTGTCACTAGGCAATACGGAGTAAATAAACTTGCTGTTTTAAAACTGAAATACATAATTATTCTTTCGACG